GTTTCCCTGGCCATGGCAGGGGGGTTGGAACTAGATGATCTTTGAGGTCCCTTCCAACCCTAACCATTCTATGATTCTGTGATTCTATGTTATACAAGGATCTTGTATATATTATGTTTTATAATAACATATTTTATAATTACAAACATGTACTGTGCCATACATTATATTACATGCTAATCATTATGTAAGCGTATTATTATGGAATATATATTTTAAATTTTTTAATAATGTATTATAGTACTTACAATTATTTTTGTTTTCTCATTGCAGGAAGTTCAAGGAAAAGCCTCTGTTTTTAATATGGAGTTGGACTTAACCGGGGCAATTCCCAGCCTGATAGTTGCCTTTGTCATTGTAGCTAATGGGGACCGCCAGGGACGCAAAAGGTCTTTAGTTTTACCGTCAATGGGAAGTTTGATTGGTGATATTTGCCTCACCATAATATCATATTTTTCCTTGTCACTCTCTATCCTATTTGCGGTTGCATTTATTACTGGACTGTTTGGGAGTATGGCGGCTTTCCTTGGAGGAGGCTTTGCTTTTATAGCAGATGTGTGTCACGATGAGAAGCAGAAGACAACGCGAATAGCTGTGGTGGATTTGATTTTTGGACTTGTATCTGGATTGGCAGGACTGTCATCTGGCTACTTTCTAAGAGCAGTAGGCTTTACGTGGACATTTGTCACAGCATCTCTGCTTCATGCCTTTAACATTATCTATATTATATTTTTTCTGGAAGATACAATAGGCGTATCTGAATGCCAGCACCAGGCACCAGAATCTTTTAAAGAACTTCTGAGAGAGACATTTTCTGGAGTGTACATGCTTTTTAAAACTGCCCCTTATAAAAAGAGGATTTTAATAATTGTGTTACTTTTTACATTTATGACTTATTTGTTTGCTACCATTGGTGGGAGTTCACTTTTTGTACTATATGAACTGGATGAGCCACTCTGCTGGAATGAAGTGTACATTGGATATGGAGCAGCTATGTTCACTTCTGTCTCTCTGACCAGTTTTTTAGGAGTTTACTTATTTTCTAAATGCCTCAAAGACATTTATATTGTCTTTATCGGGATATTTTCTCACATTGGAGGAATGGTCATGGCTGCCTTTGCCAAAACTACCCTGCTCATGTTTTTAGGTGAGTTCACAATCAGTTGTTCCATGTTCAACAATATATATGAAAATACTGCTACGTTATCTGCAGTGAGTGCAGTTGGTAGATATTGCACGTATTGTGCTGAAAGGGTCATAGAGAGGTAAAATATACAAGGTTGTGTCAGACTGACTTAGGATTTAATTAAAAGATGAAGTATGTGGAGAGAGAATGGAATTACTTGCTTATGATTTGGTTTTAGCACCATACAGATATATTGAATTTATTAATTTCTCCGTGCTTGGATTATTGTGTCTCAGTACGCTTCTAGATTGACTTTTTCTATTGCCTTTTACTATTTGGGGAACTAAGAATTCAAAAATATGTGACTAATTAATTTGCGATGTGTTTGTAAAATCCTGGATTTTTATTACTTCAGTATCTCATGACTGATTCATTGGTTTACAGTGAGAGTGCCAGCTTTGCTCTGCTTTATGCCTATTCCTGTTCTTCGATCCATGCTGTCAAAAGTGGTTCTCGCTAGTGAACAGGGTGAGTAGAATTTGTTGTTAAACAATACAATAGTGAGGATATTTCAGAACAGAAATGCACCGATTACCTTTAAACAAACAGAGATGTACTGGTATTTTAAGACTGCTTTTCTTTCAAGTACTATATCATACGACCCTATGTGATTATATTAATAGCTTTTGATTCTGAATTTAATATAAACAACATTGTGTTTAAAAACTGCTGCAAGTTTCAACCTTCAAAGGAGGTATTGCTCTAAAAACAAAGACCATGAAGAACTTGAAGCAGAGGAATGCTCAAGATTTATACACATACAATTTCACAAGTGCTTCTACATTCACAAGATTTTGATATGTAGAGAAGGATATATTTGTGCTATTGCATCAATGTCACACTTAATAGTTTAGAAAGGTAAGCAGTAGGTGGGCAACCTTCAAAGTACTTGAAAACAATTTGACTTGGATACTGACCTATGTACCTGGCTTCACAGATGCCTGTGGCTACTTAAACGTGTTCCAAAAGATATAATGTATTACTTCTCAAAGCCTTTTCCTTATAGAACACAGAAAAAAGCATGTCAGGCCAGGATACTAGAGCAATATGTGGCTCTAGTATCCCATATTTTGCTTTTGGGGAGCATTTGCTTTCTAGAAGCATTCTCCTGAGTTGTTTGGTTTTAGACATATCTTTATACGTTAAACCAAAGATCTCTTTGTACTTAAGTATGCTAACATACACCTTTGGTTTTGAAGTTTCTTGGCATTCTTCAGGGCTTTGGCAACTTGAATAGTTTGATGCTGGAATCAGGTTGCCTCTTGTCATCTTTTTCTGCATACCTATTGTGATTTTGTTTATGGTCCCGTGAATATGAATGCAGATTGGGAAAATGTGTTCAACAAGACATTGATGGGATAGACTGGCACCCCAGTGGGTGGCAGTTCAAAAAAGGTTGCTTCTTTCCTTTCAGAAATGAGGAGTTGGTTATGTGGTGAACAAACAATCTTTGTTGGATCAGAGCCTTTTCTGCATATAAGAGTGAAGATTAGAGAAGGAAGAAAAATAAAAGGGAAGAGTGAGAATTGAGAGGAGAATTGGAAGGTATAAAGGATGGAGATGTGTGGAACATGGTTAGTGAGGATGAACAGTTTGAACTTCACGTGATAAGCAGATTCAAGAAAGTAGGTACGGTGATAGCATAGTAGCACAGAAAAGTAGTTTCCATGAGCAAAACGTTGTGGGATTTTTTCATTTAAAAAACAAGTCTTTTGTAGGCGTCCTCACAGAAGACACTTCTATAGCAAAGACATACGATACTCTGGTGCTAGTTAGTAAATACTTGTTAAAATACTGTAGATAGCTTGATCTTTCAAAACAAATTTAAAAACTTTAATATTTTGAAGGGGTTTTGGGTTTATTTTGTTTTGTTTGTAATCCATCCCTTTGTTTTTGGCAGGTGCTGTGTTTGCTTGTATTGCCTGTTTAGAAGTTGTGACCGGCACTATTTCACTTTCAGTTTTTAATACTCTCTATGCAACTACTGTTGCATGGTTCTCAGGCTTTAGCTTCCTCGTATCGGCAGGCTTTTGTCTAATCCCACTGTCTGTCCTATGGTAAGTACAGATCAGGAGGGTGCTTCTGACTGCTTTTACTGGTAATTTCTCTTTTGACGTGAGTTGAAGCTGAATGGTTTAGGGCTGTAGTTCTCAAACTTCAGTGTTTTCTAGTGTGCTGGCCTTATTTTGTGTGTAGCCTTCCCTCCACTTCCAGCTTCCACTCAGTTCAGGAACTGCTTATATCTAGCAAGCCTATGGAAGGTACAGGGATCTGCTAGGATTGGGGCAGAGCTGAAATGAGGGGACATGGCAGTGTCTTCCCTGGGGGGACTGGATAGGAGAGAAGGAGCCCGGGCTATGGGGGTCTGCTTTCTCTCGGTGGGGCTTGTGACCAGTCTCTGTGAGGAGTAGCTCCGCAGTTGCCAGTAACTGTAGTCTCTTGTTTTTTTCTCTCTTCAACACCTACTCCCCTGTACCTTGCTGGAGTTTTTCCATCATCAGCCTTGTCAGGGCCTGATCCAGCTACCTCCCCTCAGGTCCGTGCTGTGAACTTGTCACCTGTTTCTCCCAAACTGAAATCTACCCTGAACGTACTACTAGTGCGATACACTGTGCCCTTGACTGCATGAGGTGTCTTCCCTGGGTTTGAGACCTTTACACATGTCCCTGAGGAAAGCCTTTGACCAAGAACAAAAATAACGAATCACTCAAAAGGCAGGAGCTTAGTTTTGCAGTCTGAGCTCTTTTAGATGCTAATGAGCATTGTAAACATGACCAATCAGCCAGTGAATTTAATGAAAAGTTATCCATCCCAGTCCTTCGTTATGGATACCTTGTGACCTACTGCCATCAAAATCTGTTAGAGATCTGCACTAACTTTAAGCCCCATATGAATAAACCTCTACACGTTTAAAAAACAGGCCTCTATAGCATTTGCATCTAGTCATACCTGGTGACCATCTAGTAATACTGACAGTGAATTGTCATTATTCGCAAAAGCGAAGTTCACTTTACATTATTTCCAATATAAATTATGCCTTTTTAGGACGCTGGAGCACAGATCTAAATGACGGATTACTTTTCATTAGATAGATTTATAGTCAGGGGAAAAAAAGCTGGTTTTCTTAAGAGGGTGGTACTCTTGCTGGAGACTTCTATCTTTTTTCTTAATGCTTAAGCTTTCCCTCAGTCACCTTTTATCTCCACATCAGCTGCATTTAAAGTTTTAAATAGGAAGTGATAATGCTGTAGATTTAGAACATTTCACATAATTTCAAGTCTTTGCTTGCCTGACTACAGTGTTTTACACAGGCTATTCAGAGAAGCTGCACTAATGGTAACTTAAGACTAAGGTAGCAATGGGTCTCAGACCTGAGGGAATTGAAGCAAAGGGGTCTTGTGTGTGAGTGGAGAGTACTTTTCAGTAAAGTAATAAAAAAGTGAGGAATTCAGTTTTATTAATAAAAACCCAGTAAATACTTGTTTTATTGAATATTAGTTTTGGTTTACTTTGGTGTAGAGAAAGTTTGTGTTAAGAAAGCACTCTGTTCTGTGCAAAAGGTAACAGATATTCACCATCATTATAGTCCGTCCTGCAATCAGGACTGTAGTCCATCATTACTGTAAATTTTTAAAAGTTATTTTTCTTTTCCTTCTGTCATTAGTGTCTCAGATACCTCACCCTTCGAACAACCTTTCTCTTGAGAGTGTCATGCAGTGTTACTGTTTGAGAGCAGAAAAGGTGGTTGTTCCAGTCTGCAATAAGTCAGGCACAGTAATTTAGTACTTACCAAAGACAGCAGTAATGATATTGTCTATCTTGTGTAATAAGGCAAGTATGATCATTGCTTTTGTTTACTAAGATACATCAGCAGCTTTGTGCTGCCACGGAAGGCGGCTGTAACAGAGCTATCTGTGTGTGTGTTGGTGCTGAATCAGCATGCTACAGTTAACTCTCCCGGCTAAAGAGATCTGTCTTATCTGTGTCTTACAGCTGGCTTCTGTGCACGAACTGGAACAGGGAGGACTTGGCTCTGCTTGTACCTGAAGAAGTATCCAGCATAGAGAGCGCTGATAGTTGAACAAAGGATTCACCTACCTAGCTTTTCTAGCCTGACATGCGGTGGCAGAGACCATTATGTCATACAGAGACCGTAGAGAAAACACAACAGTTGCAGATGCAACCTCAGAGCGGCCCGGCAGCAATAAGCACTAAATTGGTAGCACTCTTTATCCAGTCTCTTTTTAGCACTTAAATAAAGCTAGCTCTTATACTTAACTATGCAAATAGGCTGGCAATGGAGATTTTAATGCTGGTTTCAGTGTGAAGAAAAAATAAAGTAGGATGACGCTCTCTTTCCACTTACCCTTTCACAAGTTTGAGCGTGCCAGCTGTGGATTGTGATACATCTTGTGTCATTGTAAGTGGGGCGACAGAGATAAGCCTATCAGCTCAGAAGGTGCTGGCAATTCTGCTGAAGCCAGTGGAGCTCGTGCCAGCTGAGGATGTGGTCCACTGTGTACATCTTAAAAGGCCTGTCTTAATGGTGAAGCCCCCAAACCTGTCTAAAATTACTAAATTAAAAGGTACTTTTTTCAGAAAGCAACCAAACTGGAGGCAGTACTTGCACCTGCTGTAAGCAGACTTACTGCTCTGCAGTTAGCAGAGCGTGTTTGTGCAAGTTTAACGTATGATGCGTGGACCTTGCTTGTGACTTAGTTCTTAAAATGGATTTTCACACAGAACCGCCATACTTCACAAATTTCCAGCTTGCAGTGTAAAGTTAGGCCTGTGCCTACATTTTGCAGAGGCCATATTGCACTTTATCATTTTCCATATATTAGGTACTACATAGAGACACCTGGGTTTTGTCCCATAGGTATTTCTTGTTTCCTAGTTAAGTTGGCTGTACTTAGGTTAAATGTTTCTTCTAGTGAAAGGCTGTAATAGCATTTTTTAGTGGATCTTTGAATTTTTTTTAATAAACCTGAAATGAGGTCACCCAACCTGAATCACGCATCCAGTCATCTTGCAATGAATGCAGCATAGTTTGTGAGTACTTGAACAGCATTTCTTGTCTACAAAGCACTTTACAAATTAAGCTATGAAGAACATCATTCCATAATAGATACAATTGTTGCAGAGAGAGAAATCAACAGAGAGGACGAGTGACTTTCCCAGGGCCACAGTGCCAACTGGCAAGACTGACAAAATTAGAAATCGGTTTCTGCATTGGCTCTTCAACTTTTTGATTGAGATCTTTAAGCAGAAATTATCCCAAGTATTCACTTCTGGAACATACAGCATAGGTGTTAAGGACCATTACCATGTGTTCTTTTTCAGAGAGAGTTGGACAGCTAATACTGTTCTGATCCCTGAAAGTACAGGTAGATTGGATGTGACTCTCTTCCCCCAAAACAGATGAGGTAGAGAAAACAAAATAAAGTGGCTGACATTCACAGAAGGAAAACAACTGTGATGCAGGAACTGACTTCACATGCACACAGCATAGGATGAAAATGATGACAGACATAGCATATGCTGTATAATCAATGATCTACTTACAGCCATTAGTATCCATCATATGAACAGAGTAGTTCTGCAGAGCTGCTTAGCAGTAGTCCACCAAAAAAATTACCACCACATTGTGATACTATTGTAGATCCTTTTTATTTGAACGACAGCGTTGTTTCCAAGCCATGTATCGTGATCATCAAGAAGTTTGGAAGAGGGTTCAAAGAAGGTAGAGGAGAGTTTATACTATCCAGGAGACCTACCCATCATCGGTGAAAACAGTTTGGTTTATCCAGGACAGAGGGAATTAATATTTACACAGCTAACAGCTACAGCCAGCTCTTACACTTCTGTCTTGTACTACCAAGGCTGATGTTGGCAATTAAAGATAATTAGCTTTTCCTAGCTAGTTTAGACACTAGCTAGTAAATAAAACCACTCAACTCTCCTCCCTTGAGGTGCCAAAGTTGCTGCCAACTTGTTGGAGAAGTGAGCCGAGTTCTACAATAATCAGTGGGTCCAAGACATAATGAGTACTTGTAGAGAGATTAAGAAAACACTGATGCAAAGGATTTCAGCACAACGATTACATTGTCTTCCTTGCCTCTTCATTAGGCAGTTATGTAAGGCGCTATGAAATTAACTGTTTCACACAAAACCACCTGGAAAAAAAAATTAAGAAGAAAAGGTGCGTGCCTTCACATCCTCCTCTTCAATGCACACCTCTGCTGGCACTTGGAAGGTGGCAACAAAACAAGCCCCTTCCACAGTGGCATTGCGTCAGTCCACTTGCAAACAAGCATGTACACTTTGGGAATAGCTTTGTTATGGTTTGATTTTGCTGTACAAAGTACTTTCTGTTTGCAAAGTATTTCTAGTAGACACAGCATTTAGAACTGGCTGCAAGTTTAAGTCAAAACACATGAAGGATATGAACTGTATTTTTTGAAGTGCCTAGCACAGTTCAAGTTGAGGAAACCACAGGTACTAAACTAACATGCTTCAGATTATTAAATTAAAATCTTTCAAGTTTATAATAGTTGCTCTATTTGTATATAAATGCAAATTATTTTGACAGAAACACATAAAGAAGTTTGTTTTTTAAACTCTATGTTGTATTTCTAGTTCTTCCTTTGTTTTTTGACAAACAGCCAATGGGATGACTGGTGAAATGTTTATGTAAACAAAAACAGCAGCACTACGGTATCATCTATTTTTTGTGGTTATAACAAACCAACAGCAGCGCAGGAAGATGTGCTTTTGCCTCCCTCCTGCACTTGGAGAGAGGAAAAGATGCTGCCCAGAACAGCAGCACCAAGAGGAGGTGGCGAACTGCAGAGCAGGAACAGCACTGCTGTCTGCAGGAAGCCAGTGTGGGGGCTTGTGCTGCGCCTGTCAGACCAGCAGATCTGCAAGCACCTTCCTCCCTTGCCCGAATCAGGTCCAACACGAGACCAAGGCTGGGTCTGTCCCAGCTACACTTGCCAGCCCCCCCTCGCTTGGTGTGCCTCCACGGGTTGCTCCTTGAGTGCCTGCCTTACAGAATGAGGCTTGTATGAAACAGGGAGAAAAGGGGCTGGGTCAGGAAGAGCAGTCCCCAACCCACCACAACACTGAGCAGGGGCAACCCTTCCTTTTTATCTCAAAAGCTCTCTGCCTCAGTCCTGTTTGACTCCCTTTATTTAATAAATTCGTGCACACACCTCTTACATATACGATTTGTTTTCCAGCCCCTAAAATTAGCTTCCTTGCTGAGTATGGCTTGATCTCACCCCAGACTACAGTGAAGTATACTAATCCTTGAACAAAACCACCTGGAAATTACGTCTAGCCTCCTACTCTGTGTTGACTCTTTGCTGCACTAATGAGAAACTCTACTAAATTACTTGTCTTCATGTAGTTTTGCTCAGACACAACAGCATCCATCCTTCAGCCAACGCCAGGAAATGCTGACTAGATGAGGTGGGAAGCTACAAGACACTAGTAACTGTGTACAACTACGGGATGGCTCCCTGCTTTGTCCACCTCTATCCCTGGAACAGCACTGGTAGGAAGGTGGATCTGAAAACCCCCTAAAAGTCAATGCTTGTTCTTAAATTGTCCCAGACAGGGCAAGGTAATCCCTCAGCCTTTCTGGCCTGAGCCTACAGCAACACAAAGCTCACTGAACTCCAAGTTTGCTTTGTAACAGTTTACTTTTCTTTATACAAAACTGCCAAGAAACTCATCAATTATAAAATAGGAGCCAATTCTCATATTTAATAAAGTGTATCAGCTCACAGAAAAACCAGGACAGCTATGGAAAATAAAACAGCAAGTAGCTCCACGCTTGCACATTCAGTTTATTAGTTCTACGTTTAACCTCACTAAGGCAAAAAATACCCACGAGGCCTTAGCTTGTTTTTCATAGCACAAGTTTCTAATTCTGCAACTCAAGTGAAAGATAGTTTTAGAAGCTCCACTTCTTAAATGAAACAAGTTTAAATATAAACCCAAACAAAACCACAAGTAAAGCGTCTCATACTGTGTCATCTCAATGCTTTTAATTTACTGCAATGTTTTGCAACGGATGTATATAAAAGCGCTGTAAAACTTACAGGACAGAAGCTAGAGGCTTTCGCTCACATGGATAGGGAATTTGTGGCAGCTGTAAGCACACTGAAAAGCAGAAAAGATGTTTGGGACTGTGAAAAGAGGTTTATAGCAACATTTCTGCTAAAACTGTCTACAACAGAACACTAATCCCACTTAGCAGTTTAACCAAGTCATTAAAACCTGCTGGAAAAAACACAGGTCCTGTCTTAGAAACACTGTTTCAGGACCCCTCATATGACAAGAGATGACATCTTTTGAGCCACAGACTTTTTCAAATAACGTGCCACATCATATTAGCCGCCTTGCAGGAGTTCTATCTGGCACGCACACATCTATGACACGATAAAACAGTAGTTAAAACCCTGAATCTAGTAACACCGCCCACTTAAGCACACAAAACACCTTTCAGTGGCCCGCTCCTTTAAAAAGTGTATTTAAGTACAGGTCTCTCATTCTCACTTAATTTAGATCTGATTTTGGTAAGCCCACAAAAATTATTTCTGAATTTGTCGTCTAGTACCACTGTACCTTTGTGTTCTCACTGCAGCAGCTTTATTAGGTAGTGTCATAATGAAGCAGCATTCTTCCTTAAGCTCTGAATACTGAAATACCCAGATCTAGCAGTGCTCTTTTGGATTATGTTCCCAAATGGATTTTAAAACACTTCTTTAAACTTCCAAGTGGAACTTGCTTCTACTTTCAGAAATGAGAATATCCTCTTAGGGACATAGAAGAAAAAAATCCAGACCTTTAACTACCTTCTTCCAGCAATACTTCCAATTTGCTCCACAAAAGCTTAATGGCTCACTCACGAACAATGGTCAACGGGGGGAGAAAACGTATGTAGCAGGATTCCATTGGCAGTGCAGAAGTTAAGGATCTTTAAAGATGTTGCAAGAAAAAGGAACAACACTGTCTGCGTTGCAGATAAGAGATTTTTGATTTATGATTAAATATATTTTGGAAGGTAACAGCATTTATAGCAAACTTTTATTCAACAGTTTAAAAAGTGTATGGAAATTTTCAGAACAAAGAATTACTCAGTGGAAAACACCTTCTTTTCCCCCTTAAAAAGTTCTTCTGCAAGAACATCTGTTGAATGCATTTATCTACAGTAATCAGTTTTAAAATGCATGGATATTTTTGGATTTCTTGTACATATATATAGCATTTCCACAGTGAAGAAGCTATTGTCCTGAGCAGCGTACGAAGAGACATTATTTAAACTATCTAGTTACAGGACATTTATATAATTGACAACAAGCACAGAACAACTTATAGACTTTAAACATTTAATGTGCCTTTTCATCAAGGAAGGCAAATGATAACTGTAGGACTGCTTAACACTGAGTGTCAATTTAGTATCATGTATTTAGATCTGAAGTATAAAGACACACACAAAACATTTTTGTGGAGTACATTTCGTTACAATAAACCAAGCTTGTATTCCATCATCATGTGTGGTTCTCCCATAACCTCACTCTGTGAAGGATCTGGAAAAGAAAGATGACAGCACGAGGCTTTTACCAAGCTACAAAGACCAGCAATAACTATGAAAACGACTCAATGTTTTTTTCATAAGGACACCTACCCCCCCTCACCCACTTCAAGTAAAGCCAAACAGTTCTACCTAAGCACAGTTTCCTATAGCCTGAATCTCAAGGCTGATAGAATTTTCTGTTTAAGAATACTTAAGTCTGACTGAGATTTTTCCTCATAGGTGCCCCACGTCTCTTTCCAGTGCAACGTCTCTGCACAACAGGAGATCACACTCCAGCCCTTCTGTTAGTTGGGACATAGACATGGTTTCTCTTCTCCACCTAACCGCCTAGTTTCACAGAAATTACATGCCCTTAAATATCTCTGACATTTCCCCCATTCTGTAAAGTACAGTTGACATTAGCAACTGTACTCAAAAGTTATCAAGGAACATGCAGAGGACACAAGAGATACCAATACTGACAGTATGAACACCACTTCCAGAAATAAAAATTTAAAAAAATAAAATAAAGGCCAGAAAAAACATTGTGACTGCATTTTGGAAGAAATACAGCTGTCTTTATGGGTGTATCAGAATGTTTTCCTTCCATAAATAAGGTGTATTAATGCCTTTGATTCCTCCAGAGACACCAAAATTACCTAATCCAGCCCCAGCCGATAAATAGAACCTTACCAAAAAACACTTCTAACCAACCCACTCACTCCTTGGCACTTTATAAATATTTAACAGCTTGTTGTGAGCAACAGTAAATAACCAAATTCATATAAATTATGTTTCACTTTGCTCTGCCCCCTGAACTACAATAATCTAAGATTCCTTCCCTCGCCCCCTGTAAATCCATTGCAGAAAATAATCCCAGATTTACCTCATGCCTCTAGATTCCCACTTACCCCTCCATTATTTCCAGTCTCCCATCTCCCTGGCTCTTTCTATTCTCTAGTCCCACCTCAAAATACCCTCTGCCTCCTTCCATGTCCTTAACTACCAGATAGAAAGAAATAATTTCTTTTAAACTATTTTTCCAGGTTTATTCTATTCCACACATACTAACTGTCAGTCAGTAGCCCACCACACCACAAACTGCTGAGTTAATTTGAGGGAGCCTTCACCCTGCCACATCTCTGGTTCATCAGTTCAGTATCTGTCCTCTAGCCTTTCTTTTTAATTATAGAATATAAAAAAAACTTTGTATCTTTGTAACCTCCACCTGTGAAAATCTGCACAAGTAGTTCAAAAGTTTCTGGGGCAACAGGCATACAATGTAAGTGTATAATCTTCTGCTCCTTTAGAACCTCAGCCTAAAAGCAAATACTGGCTTACTCAGTATTTCAGAGTAATTTTCACACAAGTAGCAGCTGAACCACATTTATTTCTCCTTCCCCAGTGCTTCTTTGCCTTTAGGAATTCAGTTTTTTCTTTGTATTTTATATGTTTAATTCTTTTATTCCATAGAGGCAAAGAACTTCACAGTTCTCAAATTTTACCTTTAAGTGTTTCCATAACAATTCAAACCAGAATGTACTTACCATTAAGGATATCCTCAAAACTGATGCATTCATCGTTTCCCCTCAGAGTATCCAGTCCTAGGTTTGAGCTGTGAAGAAATGGGAGACGCTGGACCTGTAAAAAGACAACACAAGTTCAAGTTTCTGCAAATCCAAAACTGACGGGTTTTATATTTGGATTCCTCAGCCTGAAGTGACCAAGAAAAGCAACAGGCAAAGTCACTTCTTCCATCAAAACAACAATGAAATAGATAAAATAAGAGAACTACAGGCACACATAGATAGCAAAACCTACCTAACACCACCATCTTCTATTTTTTATGTCTTTGTTTTGAAAAGAACAGCCTTTCACCAGATTTGTAGCTTTCACTGCAGTGCAGGTGCTACAGCAAATAGTGTAGTTCAAAAAAAAGTAGGTGTTTTTTCCTCCTCTTATCACATAAAGCTGGGTAGGCTTACTGCAACCAACACATCTACACTCTGAGGTCAGTATTGGGCGACTGACAGACACTGCAGTGTTTGGAAACCACATTCTAAGTTTCCTACATCTCTGATACCAGTCAGGAATGTAAGTAAGTGAAAGTTTTATTGTTCTTCACATCTAAACACAACTCTCCTTGCAATCAATCTAAAACTTCATTATTTCTCTGATTCCCACCAATTCTTAAGCTTCAAGTCCACTCTCTATTATTTTCAACACTCTTCCGCACCCTTCACCCACAGTATTACAAAAAATATTTCAAGTGCTACACACAGCATTCAGATCCTAAATATTCTGAGAATGGCATGCCTGTACTTAAAACTGCATTCACTACTAGTAGTGATACTTTAGTTATGCCATGAACATATTTTACAACCATAAAATTATCACGTAGCTATCTCTTTACACACTACATATGTCAGAGACTTCCATAGTCACTACTGGTACAATTGTCAGAAGTTCAAATACACTATTCCAGTAAATATTTTAGAAAGGTGAAATTAGACCACAAGAGAACTTGTATATCTAATGTGAAACACGAAGCTGGCAGTAAAAAGCCTTCTAATCACCATATTTCCCCCACCCAGTCTGCAAGAACACCTGTGGAGACACACTAGCAGGATATCCTCACCTGCCTCATTTCCTGCCATGTTAGGAAAAAGATTTTTTCCTCCTAAGACAGCACAGCTGAGATCAAGGGATGTTTTCATACATCCTATCTGACTTTCACATCTTCAGGACCAGTAATTCCTGCCAACTTTAATGCATCTCCCTGAAGTTCAGAAGCACTTAATCCACTGAAAGGGAGTAAAAAAAAATTCCTCCGTCTCACTTGGAAAAACAGCTCTTAACACCTTGACAATCTTCAACAAATCAAAAAAAAGTTTACTATGAGCAATGAGCTTTCTGTGTTTCCTAAGGCACCATCAGCCTCCCTCCAGTTATTCTCCATCCTAGGAAGCGAGAAGGAAAAGGAGGCAGGCTAAGCTCCCCAGTTAAAAGTCAAAACTTTTGAACCTAACTTCCCACAGATCTCACCTGATTTTTACAAGAAAGGCTGTGGAACAATAATAAACACACAGTAAATTCTATGCTTCAGGTTTCACATTACCTCTATATCCACTCTCTAACCACTACCTGCTTCAGACCCCTAAGTCTCTTTGCCCTACAGATGCAGGGATTCCATGCCATGGAAGTCATACGTTCCAAAGAGGAGAGTATTAATTCTAGGAATTAATGCTCAATTCCTCCTGCTTTTCTCTGAAGACTTACAGGAAGCCAGTCCACAGAAAAGCTAGTGTGGTTACTACTTCATCAAGTAACCATTAAAAGAACAGCAGCTGAAAGGCTTTAGCATATTGACTCTTCTGGAAACTATCAATTGCAATGTTTGGTTGGTTGGTTTTCATAAAAGCAGTCCAGTGAAAGAATTTCTTTTGGAAACACAAGTTTTCCAACAAAGAAAGATGTCTCTCTGAAAGCACATTCTGAGATAAAATTTTCTTCAAGCGGTTTAAATTATACCAGTTAGATAAAAATACCTACCTGTTTCACTGCTCTGAATTCCATCTGCAGCTTTAAAGATGCATGCAGTCCTTGAATATTTCTCAGCGTTTCAAAGTTTGTTTTATCTTGATTTAACTGGAACTATCACAAACAACATTGTTTTTATAGAAAAAGACACTTTCAAGTACAGCCATAGAAGAGATTTGTGACATCCTCCTTAAATGAACATGCTTCTGAAACTTATATGTAAAAATTCAGCAATTCCATCATGTGTGTCTCAAAGATACACGAAAGACAATGATGCAGTAATATTTGTTTTATGAAACTGGAATTGATTTTTGCTGGATTTTACTACAAGTCAATAGTAGAAAATTTGTTTTGTTATTTTTGACAATCAGGATATGTAACACCACCAAGTGGTGCAGTTTTGCACTACTTAGCTATCAATTCATCCTGACAATATTGTAGCTAAGGTGATTTAAAGTAAGAACACAAACTTAAAAGCCACAATTGATGTTACTGTTAGCCAGTAAAGAATTTACTTGAAAACACTTGAAATACTTCTTTTCTGATGAAGTAGGAAGATAGAGCACCACATATACTCCATATGACTCTGAAAAGCAAAAGCAAGCTCGTAATTTTACCAACTGCTCTAAAGCTGCTCAGTAAGATGAAGAAAATAGCAGAGGGTTCTTTTAATGAAAAAAGTGCTGGCTCATGAATACTGAAGTACACAAAAGTAATTTATGCTTAATGTTAAACTTAAGCTCGAGTAATCCAGTCTCAATTTTGGCTTTTACAGTAGTGACTCCACACCTGTAATGTTTACACAATACACTGTTGTAAGGAAAAACAAAAAATACGAATCTCTTATTTTAAAACCTGTACTCAATCACCATGACAAAAGCCTACTAGTAAGAGAATTTCATCACATTTATGTGAAGGGATCTCAAAAGCCAACAGGAAAACATAAGTCAAATGCATAGCGTGCATTTTCTTCATAACAATATATACTGAATGTTCTTCAAATGTTAGCAGAAAGTACTCTTTATATGCCTTATCCCAAACTTACAATTCTTGTCACATTATTTTTCTGTTCCTTGTATTTTATAAAGGGAAAGGTCCTTATCTGGGTAGTAGAAATATTTGGTTTCTGCTAGTGCTACCTGAATAACCTGCTATTTACAGCAGCAGAAACAGCCATAACTATCTCAAGCTCTGATAAGTCTTTTCCCATTCAAATGTAAATGAAAAAAAATCTTAGATAAATCAGCCATAAACTTACAGAAAAACTAAGGAAATAACGTGGAAAAATTAGCTTAACTTTTAGATGACTAAAATTCAGTTAAGTGAGTTAAGAGTGAAGACAACTACATTTGATGTTACACTTACATTCTTTTCTGACAGCTCCAGTGGGTGGCTGGGCAACAATTCATTTTTCACACTTGTAAAGCTAGAAATACACGTTAAAAAATTGAAGTTCAAGAAATCAATCAGGATATTGCTTTTTAAGTTGCATTCCAAAACTAGTCTCAGATACAAATATCAACCTAGAGACATAGGATTAGCAGTCTTTGAACTAACAAAAATAATAAAAAAACAATTAATAGTGAAGCAGCAAATAAGACCCCTAACTACAGCACTACTAGAAGAAAAACAACTTTAATTCCAGTCATCCTTTTTACTTTGTTTGACAAAACAGAATGACAACTTTTATTCCTTGACCCCTTTCAGAAGTAGCGAAAAATACTAATAAATGAAAATGTCACAGGTTTAATTACATCCAAGATATTATGTATCTTATTTTAGAAGTCTCCAAGCTTTTGGAACTGAATATTGTAGGTATCTTTTCACTGTCCCTCATAGTTGCATTATCACATTTTAAACTGCATGAACTTAGATTCATTATCCAAGATACGTACGTAGTTTTGCACTCATGCAAAATGTCAAAAAAAGACACTATTTTTACTATAGTAACTTTACTTTTTGTACCAATGCTGAAATTAACCGTTTCTCCCAGCACTATGGCATACTCATATACATGTATTTTACAGCTAGCATATTTCATAACTATTAATACTTTGCCATCACTTTTCTAAAAAGGCATATCGAATAGGTAAAAATACACTATGTTATCTACTTCTTGAAATGAAAAGTTTTGCGGTTTTTGCATGTGTGCTTTAGACTACAGCTTTTGGGATACATCTGCCAAGAACTTCCTTTAAAAAGTCAACATCTGATACATGCTTTCTTCCTACACTTGAACACCAGCTATGGCACAATTCAACAGTAAAAAGTACAGCATACCCTCTACGCAGAAGATCATGACCTTCAAATAATCCTGAAGCTGAAAATTCAGCAATTGGCATAGTATCCTTCAACAGAGAAGATGCGTCACTGGGATTCTGGAACAAAAAAAGTCAGGATTACTTTAACAGAACCAGACTCCTTTTGTACGGGCCACTAGGCCAGACAAATGAAATATAGTGCTCAAAGACTCCTTAAATGACTCATTACAAGCCCAAGACTCTAGAGTCTCTCTTAAATCAGAGCTCTTTCAGAGAGTCTGATGACAGATGAAAGTACTGATAACACATTTTTCGTATCTAGCCAAAACAGTTAAAACTCACAGTTACCCCCTTGTTCATTCCCACTCTGGGGCCCAGGTACCAAAAGGAAGAAGGCAGGTCATGCTCAGCTGACAGGACAGAAAGGAACACATCTGAGCACTCCTTCATTTACTTCAATACAGACACAACCAAGTAAGATCAAATCGATTTTATCCACGGTTTAAGGCTGCCATAAAGAGGACAAGGTGTATCCAAGCAGCCCAGAAGGCCAGTTAACTGAAAGAGCAAAGAAACAACACTAACTTGTAGCAGACGACCAGAAAAAGCACACCTCCACAGACTTACTAAGTAAAGCCATCTTAACCCGGACCGCTAATTTCACACGAACCTGCCTGATTTTACTGAAGTAATTTTAGGACTGTTAATACAAATCGCTCACCAATAGGCCAATGTCTAAGAAACCCTGGAAGGTGACAGCAATAATCTCTGGAAGGTGACAGTGACGAGTTGGTCAGTGCAGGAGTTTCCTCCAGCAGCACTGTCAGATCCAACAGTACATTCTTACAGTTCAGGTCTTTTGTACCAATGCGTTAACTGTCAACAACCTAACAGCTATCAGAAAACCCTAAAACACCTCTTATTGCATATGGATAAAACGTCTACCAACTAAGATGCTCAACACTGACCAGACCTTTCCGAGATGGCTGTAAGGAAAGCATTAGAGACACATCACCGGGAAGATGTGACAAGAGGAAGATCAAAGTGAAAGTCAAACAAGAGAAAACAACTAAATACTCCCAAAAAAGCCCCCGAGGCTGGGGACTACGGGAGGCTTACGGCCTCCCCGCCCCGCCCGCTCCCAGGAGAAGGGCTTTAACCGCAGCCGCGTCCCTTCGCTCCCTCCCGGACCCGAGCGCCCATGAGGACGCCTAGCGCAGAGCGGAGACAAGGGACGCCTCTCCCCCGGCGAGCGCCGCCGACCTGCGGCCC